AAAAAACACTTATAGTAAAGTTAACTTATTTTTTTTGCCAGGAAATTCATGAAACTTTTGGATACAAGGATAATCAGGGCGATGACCTCCTAGACTAGCGCTCGCCATGTCAAGCTACATGTATAAATGTTCATCCTCCGTCGTTGTCAGCCGTTTCTTTTTGTCTTTGGACAAACTTACGCTAAGAGAACTATATCTTCAATGTTACTTTCTTGAGCTGCCGTCCATTTATATTAATATTAAATAATATTCTCATTTACGGTTTAGCCTATTGAAACAAAACATTCAATTGGTAATGGATTTCTGATGAAGTTTATTGTCAGCAACACAACAAATAAATAAACATGTTTACATCACAACAAGTTTTTACATATTGCTGTTTGTAACGACAAGAAAGACGGTGCCCCTGTCGGCGGTTTAAATTCAACACCAGAATCAATTTTAAAGCAGAAAGTATCCGAGAAATCAGAAAAGAATGATCCCGTTACTTCCCCTCTTCACTTTTTCCGTTTCAGCTCATGATCAGTGCACAAACGGAGAATAGCTGCGAACAAAGCGAGGTTCCAGCAACTGAAGATGAAATTCGAGTGCGAAAAGATTTCATTTTACACGGCCACCTTCTTGCAACTCACACGTCGTCCAACCAACCTCACTGTTTCTTGCTATGTTCCAATAATTGCCAATGTCTATCGTTTAACTACAATGGAGGGGACGGATCGATAGTTGGAAACTGTGAACTCAAAGGGGCTGCCTCATACACAAATACCCACTTTTTCAAGCACAAAGAAGGATGGACTTATTTTGAGATAGTTCGGAATAACTTGGCAAAGGTAACATAATGTTGGGCTCGATTTCGTGACTAGAGGAGATAAAAAAATATTAAAAATAAAAATATTAAAGGAAGATAGATTTATAAAAAGAAGAAGGAAATCAAAACTGGCCGAGTTTGTGGCCGAGCGGTTAACACCTCGAACTACGGAGCTGGAGGTCTGGTGCTCAAGCGTCGCCCGTCGTTGATTCTTTAGTCAAGGAACTTTATTTCACTTTGTCTCTCTTCATCCAGGTGTAAAAATGGGTACCGGCGAAATTCTGTTGGGGGTTAACCTGCGGTGGCCTAGTATCCTGTGCAGGAGTGAGTAGCAATGCCCCTTGGCATGCATCATGCTCAACAAACAGGGAAAAGCTCCGGCCGTTAGGGCCTTTGGCTCGTGTGCGCAATTGTACTTTTTACCTTACACCACCTACCGCTTAGCAGCGGCGCTCGTAGAACAAGCCGCGCCCTACCCTACCTCTGACATAAGATAGGGTACAGTTTTTCCATTATGTGAAGCCCTTTGTAAGCCGTTGGTAGAAACCGAAGCAGCTGTTTGTTGCTGGAAAAAAGATTCAATAGTGTTCGAGTGTTTCGAAGAAAGTCGCGGCCCTAAAAGCTAATTCTGTTAGCCTTTTTAACAAAGGTTTCGTATCCATTTATTTATTTATTATTTATTTATTTATTCAGTTGTTTAATTTATTATATTTAATGTTAGTCAAGGAACCTAATGGGAACTGTTTTATGGGCTGGGACGTGCCCGACTTGTCCTTAGGGTTTGATCTTAGGATATTGCCTAGGGCCAGAAAAAAACATTCTGCACTTTCAACTAACGGTCCCCTTGGTCAAGTCTGAAACAGGGTTGGGAATATCGCAGTATCTTTGTCTGAAAAAAGAATCCCAGTAACTCGAACTCTGAAGGGAAACGAAAAACAGTTCGGGATAGCGGGGAATTCTAGTTATCGGGGTAAACTTCAGTGAAATCTTGATCAAGGGAACTTAGTTCGAGTTAGCGGGGAATTCGAGTTATCCGAGTTCGAGTTATCGAGCATCTACTGTAGTAGTATACGGCTTATTATCGAACTCAGAAAGCAGTGAACGCCTGAAAATTTTCAGGAATGTTTATTGCGTAGTGACCAATCACAATAAAGTTCAGGACACGGGAACGAACCACATAAACCACAAACCAATTACCGATGCCTTTTGCGGTTTAGTTTTCTCACACCTTACTAGCTTTTTCTTTGCAACACAGTAACATTCCATAAATATCTCTGGTGTTGACGGTTCTCTGAGTTTCTCACAGTGAAAGGGATATTTTTTTACTTTGTAGCAGAGAAAATTAAGCTGTCCAAGGGAAACTTGTCACAACGGATGTTGTCGATCAAATCCATGCAAAAATGGTGCCACGTGTCGTGAGGTCTGTGACGTCAGAGTTAGACGTTATAATTGCGCATGTACGCCTGGCTATTATGGTCATAGATGTCACAAACCCCTTCGTTCATGTCACGATGTCTTAGTTTCTGGGAGACAAGTGAATGGAATTTACTAAATACTTAATCATGCAAATTCTACGCTGAATGTTTATTGTGATTTTAAAGCTGAACCGGGTGCTGCCTGGATCCTAGTGCAGAGCAACTCTTTGGAAAAAGGCAAAAGGGATTGGGCAAGTGATATATTCAGCGGCAAGGCCTTGTCACATGATTTCCAAGTAAATCAAAACCTACCAAACGATTGGTCAGAATATCGTCTGTCACTTGCAGATATGCATTCCATCCGAGACCAGTGCCCTTACTGGCGAGCAACCTGTTAATTTCCGAAAAAGGGTGTAGACTTCAGAGATTACCTGCGTGCCTCCCTTGAAGACTTTGACATCATAAAAACTCACACATATCCATCTGGCCTTTCGTGCATGCTCTATGAATTCATAAACAAGCAATCAGTGCATTGATTGCACGGCTTTAACAAATGCTTTCTGGATTTTTACGCCAGCAATCAGAAGTTCTCAGAGTAAGTTATTCCCGTGTGACTTTGATCGCAGACCTAACGGGGGAATGGAACGCGAACGAAATTTTGGCGTTTATTTGTTTGCTAACCCTGCCTTTCGGTGCTCTGCATCAAGCTATTCTACAACTCAGTTTTGGCTTGGGAAGATATTATCAAGCCAAGAACAATGAGACTGCCTTTGTGAAATTGCTATATCAAGTTGTCATGTAGTATTTACGAAAAAATGCACCATTTGCTCTTCGCAGTTATATTGCAGTAAGAATTTCAAAACAAAATCAAAACCTACAGTACCGTGACAAAAACAAAAAAACCCTTTTTTTTTTTTACTGCGGTGGGTTTATATGAATTTGCGTCCACGGGCACAATAAATAGGAAAAAAGAAAGTCAAAAATGGGCATATTTTAAAGAATGCATGTTGTGTATTACAAAAAGCTAAATATTGTTCTCTGAGCTGACTTACTCACAACTGCGCAGACGCCAACGATCACAGCGTACGTGGAAAATGACCATTGCTTCAGGCGGTACTACGCTAAGTAGCAGCCGTTTTTGGAGCAGACATGTCTTACTAAGCGGACCAAAACTTCAGAACACACGCAAACTGTACCGAGAAGTTTTCTGCTGTAGTAACGAGACAAAAACAACAGACCTCAGGTCGCCTCCGAACGAATAATACAATAGTGAAAGGTTTTTCTAATTCATGTTCTTGGTAAGTGTTTCATTTCATCGATCCTGCCCGCGTTTGATGGTATGCGTTCCATTGACAACATAAGCCGCTAAGTTCTCCTGAGCAGAGAATATTTCCTCTGATCTTCATTGCAACGAGTCGAAAAGTCTTTTGTCTCTTGCCACTTCTGCTAATGGGTATCTGATGTCAATTCTTTCCTTCGTTAGTACAGTTTGAACACTCCAACTTTTCTTTGAGATTACAGCCACATAGTCCCATTAAACCAGATTGAAGTGACCTCCGAGACCTGAACTTCGATTATACGATTTATTGGTTTCAGGAGCTTGTGGTGTAATGTAAGTCCTTCACTACGTTGTCCATGTACTATTGATTGACAGTTTTCTCGCCCAGCGCAATTACTTTTTCCCTAGGGAGCCTCTCAACCAATTGGAAATATCGACACTCACAGAATGCGAGTCGGACTTTCGTGGGCCTTCCGGGCAGGCGCTCCCTTTCCCCTCGCGTGTCTCCCTCTCGCGCCCGGTCCTTCTTGCGCCCACTTTAAGTTCCAAGCGCCTGCTACGCAGGCTAACCAGGCAGTGAATTTCGCGGTAAGTGGTTGAAACTGGATCTTGTTTGGCAAGAGTATACTGTAGATACTGTAACTACCCAAGGGCTGTCTCGTCCCTATAAACCTTGCCACGATTACGCCCGCAAATATTCCGTCCCCTGGGTCTACAAATCTAGAACTCGCCAAACTTGTAAAGTGACGGAGAACCTAAAGGCAGACTTCAACCGTCGCGTAATTTTTACGTGCATACGTACGTAAATTTTGCGCTCTGGGCTAGTGTCTCGAAAGGCCAATTACCGCTAATCCAGGATTAAAGTTTTGTTCCTTTTTTTCTTCTTCTTTTTCTGCTTCTTCTTGTTCTTTCTTTCTTTCATTTACCTTCCTATGTATTGCTTAGGGTAACATTCTGTGATGAACATTTTTGCATTTTTGGATTTTATAAGCTCGAGTTACATGTTCTTAAACAAGAAACCATGTTTAAAATTTAGCACAATCCTGGGTGTAACTACCACTTTTCGAGGAGCCGAGCCCAAAACCATGAACAAAACGAAAACCGGGGGAATCCCATTCATTAAGATAACGTCACATGCTATTTTTGGGTGGTTTAACCGGTTCGACGGGTTTAATATCCATTTTGACATAGTAATTAAGCCATGTGCGCCTCTTCGTTATTTGGTATCGATGTCGTCTGTCACTTAAAATCACACACCGTAACGTAATTATGAAAATTCTATTCCCTGCCCCTTTCTCAAATGAAAAAACGGAGATGGTCCTATTCCGGGTCACTGCCAATTTTGCATATTGATGAGAGAGAAGGTAAAGTAGATATTTATTTAAACAAACAGTTTACTTACCCCTCTCTTTTTTTCTTATGCCTTCACAATTCAATTTTTTCGCCCCTCTTCTTCGCTTTTCCCCCCAAAATCTTAATATTCTGTCAACAAAACCAGCACCACCAAATTTCTATTGTTCTCTCTCCCCTCCCCCCCTCCTCCTCCTCCTACCCCTCCTACTCCTCCTACTTCTCCTCTTCCTGCTACCCCTCTTCCTCCTCCCTCCTCCGTCTGGCCTCCATCGTCTCCTCCCCTTCCCGTTTTTTTTGAAGGAGCGTGATAGGCGGATGCCCACAGGCTAGAGAAGGACCCGCTACAGAGGTAAACCAGCTGGAGAGAAGTAGAAGAATCGCATTACTTGAAGACATGTAAATAGAAAGTACTGGATTCCTTTTTAGAGGTGTCTCACTCTCATTCAACACAGCAGCACAGACCAGAAATCAGAAATCCACTTCGATTCCCAGAACCTATGTCTACCTGGAGTTATGAAAACCGGGTTAGCAAACATTCTGTAATTTTCTCAACTTCCCCTGTCTAATAGCTTGTTTACTGTGTTGTTTGCCCGTGTCGTTTTTTTTTTTTGCTTGTTTTGTGGTTAGGGATTTGTGTAGAAGTGGAATTATACAGAATTACGATGTTACCTCCCCCCATCCGTATTCTTTTCCCTATCCACAATTCTTTCTTTTAACACAAGAGACAGTTATTTGAAATCAGCGCGCGCCTAAAGCTGGTTTCAGTGCAGTTTAGCGCAGTTTAGTTGTCTATATTGGTCACCTTGAGAAAAGTTTCCAGGAGAGCTTCATGTAAAGCTCTGAGATGGGACAAAGTTATTACGATTCGCAGAGTCTGCATCGTTCAGTATCTTATTATATTCTCGTTTCATTTGGCTAAACGGATCAATCACCCTGATCCGGGCTGAGATAGAAAGGTACGATATTGTTCGCTTTTCTAAGGTGACCACTAAGTCTTTGGCCTCGGGAACAGGCTCTTAGGAGTCAAATGAATTAGGTGAGAGCAAAATTGCAGGTGAACTTTGACCCGGGCCAAGACGTTGTTTTTTTCTGGTGTGAAAACAAGGCTAAGGTGATCCGCCGACCGTCTGACCCTACATCCGGGAACTTGAATAAGACGAGTGTAAGAGAAAAGTCCAAAGGTGTTTATCTGGCAATAAGCTGAGTTTTTCCGAGCTATTCGATGATATTTCGCTTATGTTAAACGTGAGAAGATTATGCGTGGCTGTGGATAGTCTTATCAGTGCCGCGAAAGTGTGTGATTGTGTGAATTCCTCATGGTGTTGACAGCTATGTGATCGCGTGGTTGAACTCACAGGAAAAAATAACGGATGCCCATTTTTAGATATTTTAAGGTATTTAAAGAATACCCATAAAAATCCCAAATTTGGCAAAGTGAGACAAGTCCCAACCAGGGAATTCCCAACCAAGTTCCCTGATTGGGACTTGTCTCACTCTTCCAAATTTGGGATTTTTGTGGGTATTCTTTAAATTCCATAAAATATCCAAAAATGGGAATCGGTTATTTTTTCCTGTGACTGCGGTTTCGCCAAAATATTCTGTGCCAGCCATTGATATTGTTTCGTCGGTGTTTAGCTTAGCTAATTGTACCTTGGAAAAGTAACTCTCGACTCAGGAAAATTGGATCTAGGTCTAGTTTCAGCGGGCTGTAATGGCATTGCACCATAGGCCGGTTTTTGCAGATAAGAAGGTTATAATTTGTGTATGTTTCATTCAGTTTGTTGTCTATTTCATGCGGAATCCTGTTGTTTATCGGACCGCGAAAAAAGTAGTGTTTTGCTAACTATTTAAATTGTTATGTAGGCCTTAACCAGGCACTCTTTCGCTGCAGTTCACTCAACTTAAAAATTTCTGAAAAGAAATGACACCGGTTTGAAACTTCGCGAGGTCAGTTTACTGAATAAATGTTCTAAAATTTGCGCCATTTTAAATTTGGACTCGTTGGAATGCTTCTAGAGACCGTTAACTTACTACGCGGCGTCAGTTAAAGGTTTTTAATCGGCCTTTGAATGAGTTTTGTTGTTTTAAATTGCCAAGTAGTAGAATGAGTTGATATTTTTGCTAACCCGGTTTTCAAAAATCCAGGTATATGTCAAATAGACCTTTTCAGCTTATTTGTTTTGTTTGTTCTATCAGATCACGTGATCGTGCCCCAGAGAACTTTTTCAAATTTCGTCCTATCCATGCGCATATGTGAGCATAATTTATGAAAAGACATAAAGCAAATTGCCTAGAGAACATCACGTGGTCTGAATTGGGAAAACAAAACATACATATAACTGCTCTCAGAGATGGCTATATATATAGCTTTATTATATACATACTGCGAAATACTCACCAAAGACTTCTCATACGCAAATGAGTTATGGCCAATCATAGGAGCGAACGATGTTTCTTCACGTGTGAGAAAAATGATACGTCCAATCACAAGTCACAGAGGTGTGC